CGACCACGTCAGCTTTCATTTTGCGTTACTGTAAGATATCTACTTTTCATCACCATTCATGGGTCGATTTTGTTGAGATTCAGCAGCGATTTGCAAAGGGAAATTAAGCCCATGAAGTTCGTGAAGGCATATTCATCAATTGACCTTCCACACCTTGGACTCCCTTTAACATCAAAACTACCGGAAACGAAAACGACGTAACTAAAATTGTGCAGGTTTGACTCTTGTAGTATCAGGACCACGAGCAATATAAAAATTTTCAGCTACCCGACTTGAGCTTTACGTATTTGCTATTGGTGTCTATCTTTAATATGTTTAAACACCTCTCTCGGTATCTTCTTTGGTACAAAATATCGTCATTACTCATATAACTCCAGCTAGTTTAATGTTCTCAATGAAGCTACTGCAGCCATTCCTGGTTTGGTATCTGATGTATTCCAAGTGTTTAATGTGGAATTTGCGAAAGAGCTGGTTATGTTCCCTTAATCTCTTCTAATTCGTAGCTTCGGCAATGACTGCTGCAATGTAGGCTCATTTCTAGTGAACGTTATAGTGACCGCAAGTCTACATATATTTTTCTACAACTTTTTTCATATGTCCTTGAAAATGGATTTCCATCTGTTTAGAGCCACTCGTTCGAATTTCAAGTGAAGTTTTGTAACGTCATTACTGGATTTCTGCAGAGTTTACAAACTCGTAGGTATTCTCGTTGCCGAAAATGTTCATATGGTCGAGGTTTTAGCTAAAATAGCACTTAGAACTCTCTTAAAATAAGGCCAACAAATCCGCCTCGCTATCCGAGTATATAACTTCCTTTAGTAACTCCTCACTTCAGAAGGCATTCTCACCTGTAAGCAACTATATAAACTTGGTCGTTGATTTATTTATTTGTGGGCTGATTCATTAAATCCCTATGCCCAAATCGTCGGCCGTGGTAGCCGAGTGGTTAGCATTGCGTACTGCCATTCGGAAGGTCAACATCCAAAAGTTATAGAAAATTAATTTAAATAAAAAATTACGCTCAATTTTCTACAATAATTGCGTTCGCCCCTGGGCAGGGAATGCCAACCTCCTACGCTCCGAAAGTATTTTTGACAATAAATAAAGGCTCCTCATAAAAAACCGTCAGCCGTTAGGAGGCGGCCTAGTACTGTGGCTGCAACTGCCCATTTCACTTACCAGCCGTCCATAAGTGGCGACGAAAAGGCGAGATAAACACACGAGTTATCGACGCCGCTGAGAGCGGAGAAATGTTGCCAGCTGCCTGTGTGTTTGCGCACTTTTGATCAAATTCATAATTTTCGTCAACAAATTTCATAATTTATTTGCTTGAACATAAACACAAGGCAAATATACATAATCTATATGGTAACAAATAATTAGTTACGCATTTATTTTTCATTTCTTTTAAACAAAACTACGCGTTATCTTCGATTATTTAATGTTACTTTAAGAAAGGTTATACTGGCAACCTTATATAGCAACGAAAAATGAGCCGAGCCGGTTTTACGGAAAAAATCAAAACTTCGTTGGTTTCTGCGGAACAACCGTCACTAACGGTATGGGCAAGCGGTGACAACTTTGTGTTTACATGGCGCTCTCATAAGATAGGTTACTATGGACGGCTGGTACGCGCGTTGGGTAGTTGCAGCCTGTAGGTAACTCCATTTGTTGGCAACACATCAAGAAGCAAACCCACAAATAGGAGAAGGAGCTCGGCGGTCACAAAGCGCCTATATTATATATATATATATATATATATATATATATATATATATGCCCAAATCGTTTTTAGTTTTAACCCAACCCGGTACCTACTGTCTTCTTACGAATGAAGATGTATATTTTCTTTTCTTAAAGTATGCAATCACGGTGTTCCGCAGGGTACTGTTTGTTCTTGAACCAATATTGTATATTTTGTTCAGCGCAGATATTTCTACAAGTAAAAAAAGTAATGACATCACCTTTTGCGGATGATACTGCTATACTAAGTCGTCATAAATGCCCCATTACAATTACAAAAGTGCTAGAGCAGCACCTTAAACTAATTAAAGAATGACTAGAAAAATAGCTCATAACAGTTAATGAAAATAAGTGCAAGCACATCACCTTTACATTAAGGCCAAAAATGCACCCTTTCGTCATGCTCAACAATGTGTCTATCCCACAAGCTAACGAAATAACATACCTTGGTATTCACAACTAGACACGACGATTAACTTCAAGACGACACATTTTTGCCAAAAATATGCAGCTGGAGCATAAATTATTCTTTATCAAGCGACTTTAAAACCGATATGGATGTAAGGGATTTAGTTATGGGGCACAGCTTTCGCGACAAATCTAGATATAATGCAAAGATTCCAGTCTAGAACATTGAGAATAACAACAGGCACTCAATGGTACATGCGTATTTAAAATATCATACCTATATCATACCTAAATAGGTGCAAAATCAAAAAGGAGATTGAAATCGTTACACAAAAATACATAGCAAATTTACACAATCATCCGAACCCTTTGCTTATCCCCTTGGTGTCCGCAACATGTCACACGGGCCTCAAGAGAAGGACTTCCTTACCCTTGTAAAGAGCAACACTGAAGCAGAAGTTCATTCCTGGCCAATGGGATATTATATTATACTTTAATTTAGTTTTTAAGATATTCTGATATTGAAGCGAGCTCAGTAAATAATTACAAAAGTTAAAAAAAATTTAACCGTAAGAGTATTTAACTAAATAAGAGCTGTTATACTTTAAAGAAAGAAATTAGAAATTCACTGGATCAGATATTAGACGGATTTTGATTTTGATGGATCCTCAAAGATCAACGGGTTCTTTGGTTGATGGAAAACGTTTGGCAATAACTAAGAGCTTAACTCCAAGGATAACGTCAAATGAATTAGGATAAACTGTAGGTCCTCCACAATTGGCTCGGCCGAAAATCACTTTAGCGGTTAAAAGCAGCATATTTATATATATATATAGTATGTATATATATATGTATATAAGTATGTATTTATATTAAGATTTGTGACTTATTATATAAACATATGTAAAAAGCATTGTCTTGAATGACTGACGTATCAACCCAAATTTAAAATTGGGAGGTTTCCGTCTACGTATAGTATAGGCATCCAACGAGAAAAGAAGTTCCGGGTTATGATCCTCATAATTAGTTTCAAATCGTTCGACCTACATGAACCTTGATACACATTCAGCTTTTACCTAAATAAACAACGGGAACACTTTTTTTCGAGCAGGATGCCTGGTCCGATCTTTACTTAATAAGTGGAAACCGTTCTTTCTGGAACACGGAAACGATTTTTGCCCAAGATTTTATGATTCGATTTACAGGTAAATTATTGTCAATGTGTACGACTTGTTAACGGGTGATATTGTAAAAGAGCACGTTGCAATCAAACAACGGCTCTATATCTATCCATTTGAACAATTTTCCTAGATACCGGAACCTCTTGGAGATTATTATGATCCCTAAGCCAGGTAAAAATCCAATCTTGCTAGGTAGCCTGTAGGTATATTACCATAGCTTAATTACGATATTTTCCAAAATCTACGAAATACATAAAAGTATATAACGGAGTTTAAAATCGAAACAGACCATAACATGCTTTAGAAAAAGCACAATACCATAGAGCTGGTGCATATAATAGTACCTTAACTCACTTAGATACAAAAGAAGACTCGGAGAATAGTCAATGGTTGCAAGTGTTTACAAGTAAAATTTATCCTAAAAAATGTCACATGAGCTTCAATCCCTGTAAATGTTATTATAACAGCCAATAATCAGAAAAAATTGGTTACTCACTTGGAAGTAACATAAAATACTTACCTTTAACAACAACATAGTTAAAGAGATTGCTCAAACAAAATTGAAAATTGCGAATTTCCTTTGGAATACAGATTCTAAAGAATAACTGCGTAAAAACTTCTCTATGACAAACTTTCTAACTGGAATTTTGTTACTGCTAAACTACCCTAAGCAATTAAAGAGAGTATTATTATGTGAATATTTATTATATGAATGTCATCCAGCATGACATCTTTTATTGAATTGTTGTAATATGCCTCATTGGCATTCCTAAAGATGTCTTTATTAACACATTATTTGTTTAAGCAAAATCATATTTATAACTTATTGTTAATACTTTTCTTACTATTTCAGCTGATGCTGTGGTAATGGCTATCTTTTCTTTTTTTGTATTTGTATTAATTTTTGAAAAAAAAAAAGATTCATTAAAACACTTTCAAAAAATGAAAAAAAATGCTGAAAGAAAAATATGTATGTTCCGATTTGCTGGAACTTAACACAACTCCTGGTCAGGGCTATTAAGTGAAAACTTTATAGTTATAATAAACAAAATAAAATAACTTAACATAAAAACCATATAAAAATCTAATTACAACCATCTTAGAATTCCATCCGGACGAGGTCGCGGGCAAATATTTAAATAACCCAAAAACGTAAGTATTACAAAAGACAGCTTTCGGCCAAGTGTAGATTAGGAAGTTATGAATTTCTACAGGAAAAACCTACTCCACCCCCATATGCGCACATGTGTATGTATTTATGTGAAAGATAGCAAATATTATACATAAATTGTATTGTTTCTAACACCGTAACGCTGCGATTTGCTTGAAGCAACCTATAATATATCAATCTGCCAAATCGTAATTGACTCCATTACACCACCACGTCTCAATCAGTTTTCGTTCACATTCAAGGGCCATTACACTCAGAGCATTCGTTATGCAATTGCGATGCATCTTTTTTAATCAAAGGTGCGCCACTTTGTTCGATATGAAATAAACTAAGATTCGAGTAGGTATGCAAAATACCAAGTAAATTTCTTTTTCTCTTGCAAAGCTTAAATTGCGTCACACAATGTAAATAGCGCCGCTGACCAACACCCACCGGCCTCTAAGCACTACATCGATATTGTTTAGTTCAGTTTGATAGTGCAAGGCATCCGGAGCAGTTCGAAAAAACTTGAAATCGTAAACAAAATACAGTTGAACTATGCATAAAAATGGATTTATATACATGAAGGTGTGTTAATAAAAGTTAAAATACGTATAAATGAAGAAAAATTAACACGAATTAAAAGAGCGGAAAATTTGATTATTTAATTTACAGTGTGCAGTGATTCGATTCTACTGAAATATTCTAGCCTTCATGAAAACAAAATAATTGACAGAAATTGGTTTACAATTACTAGTGCATGAGCGCGCAAGATTTATAGAAATATTTGACTGAAATTTGTCATCGCACATCGGAACGAATGACATAAATTCATGCTTAACTGGGATAATTTTTATCTCATTAAAACTTTGTTTAATTAATTTATTTTTTATTGGCTTCATTTCATTTGCCATTAAAAAACGGCTAAATCATGATCGCCATTGGCCATCAATTATACAATTATTTCCATTTGTTGAGAAATATGCTATTGCTTTTGCTGCTTCTACAGCTACCGCTTTTGGCTAATGCACATTTTATTCAGATCGATAACACTGCTTTTCGCACAAGCTATTTTCCTCAGTGGCCAATTGAATCCCCATCGCATGGAGCAGAGAAAATACCACGGAATCTGGGAATGAGAAAACTGTCACCAGCTGAACTTATGACTGATTTAACCAACGACCTTGCATACCGCATCCTTCACTATCATTCTATACTCAATAGAAACAACTTTGCCTTTTCTCCTACTGCATTGATGAGTGTACTGATAGCATTGTATGAGGGTTCGGCAGGGCGTAGTGCTTTGGAGTTGCACAAGGTGTTGATGCTACCGAGTAGTCGAGATGTTATTCGTATAGGCTATCGTGATATTCATCGTAGATTACGGGTGAGTTAAAATAGCTTTAAAATCACATGAAAATAAAATATATAGAATAAAAATTTAGAATCAGCTTCCACTTGCTGATAGTGGTTGCTAAGGGGCGCTGATTAATTTACAAAAGATCTGTGCATTTAAAAAGTCCTGTAGAAATAAAACAGTATTTGGTCGAAAGAAATATTGTTCTTCCATACACAGTAGATACATTAAGTGCCTTCCTCACGACAGACCCTTTTTGCATTGAGTGGGCTTCGCGTTCGAAGCATGCGGCTCGCTATGCAAATGTGTCCTTACCGACGTCACCGCCTTCCAAGAATTGTGATGAACAAAGACGTACACGAGCAAGGTCTTTGTGATAACTACATATAGTGGCTATTTAGAGGAGTACAAATTTGGTGTCGATTTATTGGCGGGAAAGACTCATTCGCCAAGTCCTTCCATTCACTACGGTGGATAAATACCTCGCCAAAGCGAATTACTTCAACATCCAGCTGATTTGTAACCACAAACCGATGGAAAAAAAGTATGTGACTTAAGATGTCTTTTATGACGCCAGAGTGTACAAATGAGGGATCTTCGGCCCAGCAGCCGGAAAATCAAGCTTCTGCAACGAACCAATTCCCAAAAGGCCGATCGACTTCACAGAGTCCCCAAATCTGGTTGTCTATGATATTATATTCCAAGCAAAAAATCATCATGATATTTCGCTATCGAAAAACAGTTGGACGACATGTGCAGTGTCCATATGTTCCGAGGATCTAAAATTTTCGAGCCACAATTACTCGGCTACTATTGGATGAGTGCATAAGCTCGTGCCCGATCCCGCTGGATGCCGTTCGAATCGTTTGAGAGTGGCGCTCGTGAAAGAAATAAATACATACATATTATATATCATTGGAAAGGTGACTGTAAATCAAGCATAAAATAACTTCATTTTGATTTATTGCTTAGTGAAAAGACGCATGGAAGATGGACAACGAAAAAGATCATATGCGTCATATTATGTTATACGATTTCCGCAAAGGAAAAACAGTAGGCGCTGCAACTAAAGATATTCGCGAAGTTTATTTGGACCGTGCTCCAGCACTCGGCACAGTAAAGAAATGGTTCGCGAAATTTCGTTCTGGAGATTTTAACCTCGAAGATCAACCACGTAGTGGACGGCCTTCTGAGCTTGATGACGATGTTCTAAGGACTTTAGTTGCGAATAACTCACGTATTTCGACGAAAGAGGTTGCCAGTGAATTGAGCGTCAACAAATCAACTGCGTTTCGTCGTTTAAAAAAGGTTGGGTACACTTTGAAGCTCGATACATGGGTGCCACATCAGTTGAGTGAAAAAAACTAAGTGGACCGTATGTCAACAGCAATTTCTTTGCTTCGACGGATCAAAAACGAACCTTTTTTGGATCGGCTCGTGACTGGTGATGAAAAATGGATCCCGTATAACAATGTTCAACGCGCGGAACCGATGTCGAAAGATGGATTGTATCCGATGAAGGTACTGCTGTGCATTTGGTGGGATATCCGAGGCGTGATCTATTTTGAGCTCTTGCCAGCTGGAGAAACGATCACTGCCAACAAGTATTGCCAACAATTGGTCGAATTGAAGAAAGCAATTGATTGAAAAAGTCCGATTTTGGCCAATCGCAAAGGAGTTCTTTTCCATCATGACAACGCCAGGCCACATGTTGCTAAACCGACCCTGGCCAAACTGAAGGAGATGAATTGGGAAATCATGCCGCATCCCCCATATTCACCCGACATTGCACCTTCTGATTATCATTTGTTTCGATCGCTGCAGAACAATTTGAATGGAAAAAAAATTTAAAAATGTGGAAGACGTCAAAAAGCACCTTGACACCTTTTTCAACGAGAAACCGCGCGATTTCTATGAATCAGGCCTCCGTAAATTGATTGAACGTTGGGAGTGGATTACCGAACATGATGGCGAATACATAATTGATTAATAAAAGCGCTTACTTAAAAAAAATTCAATTTTAGTTTGCACTTGAAATCGGGCACGAACTTATGCACTCATCAATATTTTGTAGCAGCCAAGATACGAACCGGCTTCTGTGCAGCGAAGAATGCCTGTAGCCCCACGTATGGAAGGTTCGACATCAAAATGCTACAATCACAACAGGAAACCGGTTTTCTACTCGACTTGCACTATTGTCCTCTACGCTCTAATGCAAATGAATATATTTAGTTTTCGGAAAGCTCAAAAGAAAAGCTATTACTATGAGGATTCTGCACCGCATAAAATAAAAAATAATATAAAAAATTTTACGATCTGCAGAAGGTTTCAACGTCAAATCATACTTGTGCATGTAGAACCCAAAAAGATGATCTGGTGACCGCCACCCAGAATATACTGAGTTTATGGAGCGTGGCAGTGTAAGTGGAACACCCTGAGGTGGTGAACCGAAATTCCGGATCGATGACGGCTACCTTAATGTGGTTTAGCAAATCCTCAAAATGATAACCATACAATCTTGGAATAACCTTTGTTTTAAAATTTTCGACGCAATACCCCATAAGCTGAAAAGAAAACCAACTGGCATGCCTATATTAATTCGGCTAAACTTGCGTAGAAGGTATCTACGCCAGTAAGGAAGAGGAACGTCTACGAAAGCCATAGTTTTTATAGCGTCATTGAACTTATCTACGATTTTAATTTTTTTTTTTTTTTCGTTTTTTTTTTTATTGAACCTCCACCTAGGCACATCAGGAAGGGAGTACTAGACCTCAAAGACACGATCCAGCAACACACACAACAACCGCTGGACAGGACGGCGTATCGACAGGCACTGAACGCCATTCACCAGGAGTCAGTTAACACCTTCATGAACTCCCTTCCAGTGAATGGCGTACTCGGAGAAATACCACCACCCATAGCAGACAACGAGCTCGAGCTGCCTCGAGAGACCCGCGTGACCCTGACACAACTTAGGTCTGGATATTGTAGTAGGTTAAACTCCTACCTATCCAGACTAGACCCCAGCATACCTAACGTATGCCCGGCATGTGGAGAGTCCCCGCACGACACTAACCACCTCTTCACATGCCCCCTCAAACCTACTCATCTAACACCCCTCTCCCTTTGGTCCAACCCCGTCGAAACAGCTCGTTTCCTGGGCCTACCCTTAGATGACCTCGACGACTTAGACTAACTCAAGCCTGTGCCTAAGCGGGGTTAGCGAATCCGCTACAACAACAACAACAACAACGATTTTAATCGATTTAGTTGGGAACTGGCGATCAAAACTGGATTACAGAAACGTAAAATGAAAATGGTTCCGGCCGAAGGGCAGTGAGCCGGCATAAACGGTATTCCAGTATTCCAAATTGACAATAAATTATGCACTATTATCTGTTCCCTTACGGCCAAACTTTTCATTAAGTGATTAATCACCAAGTGATTACTATCTGTTCTTGTCTATTTTTTCCAATAGGGACCAGGGTTTCTATGAGATACGTATTAACATTACCTTCAAAATGGCAAAAAGTTAACGGAAGAAACGGTCAATTCTAACTATACGGTGTGTGCCAAAAATAACCGAACTTTTTGGATATAAAATAATATACACATTATATTATCTTTGAAAGTTATTATTTATTCAAAATAGGTTCCATTTGACTCAACACAACGTTTGGAAATGTTCTTCATTTATAGAAATGTTCTTCAGTACCTCGGTTACGGCTGCTTAAATGGCTGGGATATTATTATAAAATGCTCCCTCCATCTTGGTTTTCAGTTTTGGAAATAAAAAATAGTCACATGGTGATAGATCAGGTGAATATGGAGGATGGTCGATGAGAGAAATCCCTTTTTTCATTAAAAATTCGAAATTCAAAATCGCGCACAGACCTTTCTTTTCCACAAATCTTCAGTTAAAATTTTCCAAATAGTGTTTTTACCTGTATACAATTCTTCAGCCAACATTCTCGTAGTAAAATTTGCATCGATACCAATGATTTCACGGACTTTTTCCACCAGTTCAGCACGATCACTAGTTTCTGGACGTCCTGCCCTAGGGTCGTCATTTAAATCCTCACGACCATTTTTAAATCGTGTAAACCACGTATAAACTTGCGTACGACTCATGCAATCATCACAATAAACTTTTTTCATTAATTGTTTTATAAGTTTGATACAAAATTTTATATTTTCTCTTTGTTCTATTTTATATTTGAGCCATTAGCACACTTTTGTTTTTATTGAAATTGCTGTCACTTTTACATCTGTCATCCGACTTACATGATGTTAGGTGCGTTTGAAAGAGGATGAATGTATCTTTTTATTGTTGGAAATTTTCAATAGATGGCGCTGTATGTTGTATGATATAAATATCAAGTTCGGTTATTTTTAGGACACACCGTGTATGGTAAATAAAGCCTTTAAATTAATGCAAAGATAATGGATTACATTTTACTATTACTACTATTATATAAAAATTAAAAACAAATTTCAGATTTTCCTACTGTGCATACTTATTGTTCTACTTGAATAATATTAAACCGCATACATTTAGTTTAAAAACATTGAGTCGAAAAAATGCTCTAATTTGGATGGCCAAAAAAAGTTAATATGTTTCCTCCATAATATTTATCTATAGTCGTTCTTTATATTTTTAAATTCATAGATGTTATATATATATATATATATATATATATATCTACACATTTTCTCCAGACTTACTTTTTTGGATCTGAAAACCCTCTCAAAGGACTGAGCCTCAATAAGGATAACGTCACCATTGCGCACAATTACGAAACTTTGCTCTTATTTTATGGATATGATTTGGGAATGGATATGATTTCGTCTACAGTATCTAAGCCAATACCTTCAACTACCGTCCGTGAAATAACGGATGAAACTACAATGACAGCAACAACAAGTGTTCCAAAAATTGAAACGACTTTAAGCTCACCCACAGAGAGCAGTATAGAAAATGTGTCCCAAATTAATCAAAGCGCCGTAACCACAATAAAACCAAACATCACAACCACACCTGCAATACGTACTGTACTTACAGATATCACAACTACAGCAACTACAGTTAATACTACATTTCAAAGTACAACTACTGATCCAGAAACACCAGTACCAGATAATATCACCGTAGAACCAGAGCCTTTAAAAATAACCACAGACGAAATTACTGCGGAAGTAAATGAAGATATGACAACATCAGCTTCCGCACCTGCTACAGAGAACAGCATTGATGCAGCCGAACTTGTAGCTGCATCACCCATTGAACTCAATTCAACTCCATTTCAGAGATTACAGAAGTCGCGACCAATACAGCAGCCAAGCGCCAAATTGCAAGCCCCACTATCAACTATTTCTAAACCGAAACATATCTATTTACCGCAGCACACACGATCTCGCAGTGGTCGACACAAACGCAACTCCATACCCTTTAAAGGGAGCGAGTCAAACCTTTTTGTTACACTTTTCAGCCCGCATCACCAATTTCAGCATAATTTATATAAAGCACCGATCTCATTTGAACAATTAACAAAGGGACATGATGTCGATACTTTGGACGAAGGACTTCTAAATGTTGCAAATACCAAAACGAGTTATAGTTACAGTACAGATGTCATCAGTCATCTGTTCTACTTGGGAAACCAGCAAGTGGTTCATACAACATTTAAAGTTTATAATGCAGTTCTTTATTTCAAATACTTTGATGATTTAAAGATGAGTGCTCTTGAACTAGAATTAGATACACCTGACTACAATTTGATCATTTTGCTACCAGATTCTCCAACAGAATTGGCATCTACTACAGCTTCTCTTAGCCTGGCCCCTTCGTTACGTCTAATGAGAAAACAATTAAAACCAAGATGGGTCCAAGCGGTTATACCAGATTTTAAATTGCATGGAATCATTTTTCTTACAAATGATCTTCAAAACGTAAGTCGGAAAAAATTTGCCTTAATCTAAATATACATATGTATGTATGAATACTATGAACGAAGTAGGGAATATAAAATGCCAAATAGCACTTAAAAAAATTCAGCTATTATTGTACTGCTCTTCGAATTCGAATTTATAATCTAAATAGCAAAACAATTTAATCATTTTTCGTTTTTATAGATTTAACCAGGGCCGCCGAGAGAAAATCTGGGCCCGGGGATAATTTAAATGCGGGCCCCCAACACCTTAATTTCATGATCTAACAAATATGTTTATTTGTACTTACACTGCAAATCAACGAGTTGGGGATAAAGATAGAATAGAACTTGAATAAAAAAGAAAATGAATGAGTAATCTGGAATAATTTTTGTTTAAACAATTTTATTACCTTAGTTTGCATCACAATAGTATTTTAATAAGTAGCAACCCTCAAAAATATGCCTTCCTTGCTTTACCTGATGCAAATTGCTCAATGATAATACCGAAGTCAAGTTTTCTAGCTAATTTTAGACAGACAATTAACTATTTTTTCACAAGTTATAGCTCTATGTAAGACTTTTCACAGATTATAGTCTGAAAAATTGATCTTTCTCATACAAAACTAAATCTTACTGCAATGACTGTAAGATAAGAACATGCGTCACATATGTACTTCATATGTGAAGTAACAAAATTACTAATTTTTTTCAGACGCGTAGAATTAGTATCGCAATCCATGAAAATCTGTAGTCAGTTACGTCATAGATATTCTAGAAGCAAATTATTCTATATACGACAATGAAAACACCGGCCCCCCTTGCAATCTACGGGCCTGGGGGGAAAAGTCCCCGATCCCCCACCCCCCTCCTCTCGTTGGGCCTGGATTTAACCCACCCATTATATATAAAAAACGATACAATTGTTTTATTTGTTGAAAACAATAATAACCAACGTTTCGTGTATATTTTTCACACTGAAAAGTGGACACCAACATATTGGCGAAGGATATAGTTTGCTCCGAGCCATGCACTGTTTGCAAATTTTCCACGCACTTGAAAACAGTTTTTTCTTTTTCCGTCGCAGATGTAAGTCCAAAATTTATAATTGCGTTGAACGTCTTAATTTCTACCGGAGTAACTGTATTTTCCAAAAATCTTCTCCACCATTTACTATGTACGAATTTACGTAAAATTTTGGGACACAGTGGTTGAGAATCACTGTAATAGAGAATACTCGTACACTGGTTATTAAAAGTTTATAACCAAAGCAAATAGAAAAGAAACATTTTTCATTCAGTGTTTAGATACGAGCAGTGATGATTAGTGGAGTATAATATTATCACTCTTGAAATATTAAGAAAGTCCGTAGGTGCATTTAATAAATGATTATATTGTACAACGTTGTTGGTAAGTGGCCTTGGCTATATTAACTGAAACGTTTTCGATCAACAACTTTGAAATGTAATTTTCGGGATATTTCAATGTATTGTAAAAAAAATACCGAATACCTAAAAGATTTAAATTTTTTTACATACATATTATTTATTACAAAGATAAATTTTATTTTCACTAATATTTAAGTTGTTTGCTGCGCCGGGTGAACATCTCATAGTCCCATTCTGCCCTCTTTCGTTTTCTGCTGAAGATCGTGGATTAAGCTGCTCCTTTTCTGCTTACGGCAGAGTCATAAAACATAAAGTAGGGTAAATAAGAGCAAACATATTTTCATGCAACATAATAACAATAGAAAAGGTAAGGACAAGAGAACGAATACAACAACTAAGTGTAACGGTTGTCGGTATCATGAAACCACAATTCTCATGATTTTCATGCTTATAAATATAAAATCAAATGAAATTCAAGCAAAAAGTCAATGCACTAAAAATTAATTTTGGTAATTACCACGTTCAATGAATTAAAAAACGTTGTTCAATTCGCCTTGCCTAGAGCAGCTAGTGCTACCAGAATATCAGCTGAGTGTACAACTGAGAGATTTCTACGTCGAATGTAAAACAAGAATTTCCATATACTATTACTTTCCAGAGAATTTGGTTACGTCACACTTATTCCGGAAGAGCCCTTATACTTGTATCATAAAAAATGCTGAATTTTTGGAAAAGTATTCCAATTTGAAGGGTTCCTAGAATTCATAGAAACTCCACAGAAGATCTTGAAAAATCAGATAATTTTGCCCTAAATAGACGAATATTTATGAAAATAAGCGCTAAAAGTTAAAAGTAATCTATCTCGTTCAAAGCATAAAATATAATGCAGATGAAGAGACTGAAAAATTTAAAAAATCACACCGCCTTGAAACTATACGATTAATCCAACGATCACTTTTATTTCGGCTAATATTTTTCCAACTAATTACAAACTAATGTACATACTTCGTCGCTCACTATGTTATTGATTTTGCGTTGGTTGATTATATTTTTGCTTAACATTTATAATTTCTCTTGAAATAGTATTTTTTTTATACTCAACTTAATAAATGCGGTTTTAATCTTAAGCTTATTTAAAAAAATACATTTGAAGTAAATATAATGGGCAGTATGAATACGAATTTTGCTGACTGTATATATAATATTATATTATACATATAATATTAAGACAAAATTATTTTCCTCGCAATACTTGACGGCCTCTATGGCCTAATTGTGTTTGGCCCTCGCCAAGGAATGTCAATACCTACGAGCGTATGTACTTCTGGCATGAAATACGAGCTTTTCGTAAACAGCCATCAGTCGTTCTGCGGCAGCTTAGAATAAAATTGCGGAAAAGCATTCAAACGCACACCGTAAAATAGCTCCATTAAATACAAAACGCCAAATATATACCTAAATATCAGGGGTACAACTTTGCTTCTGTCGCTTTTTTCCAAAATTAAAAGCTTTATTGCGAAAAAGTGCTTACAGATATATTATTCAAAGTATTGTCATTCGCTAGCGACAACTTTCTTCCATCTTTCCGGAAATTTTCGGATCCCAGCGCGAAAAGAGGAGTCCTCTTTTGACGCTATCCATGAAGCAATCCATTTTTCCAATTCTTCGAAGGATTGAAAATGTTGATCTGCCAGGCCGTGTGCCATCGAACGGAATAGGTGGAAGTCAGAAGAGGCGACATCTGGGGAATACGGCGGGTGGAGCAAGACTTCCCATTTCAGCGTTTCTAGGTACTTTTTGACCACTTTTGCGACGTGAGGCCGAGCATTGTCGTGTTGGAGGATGACATTGTCATGTCGCTCTTTATAGTGTTGCCGATTTTCTTTTGGCGCGCGACTAAGGCGCATCAGTTGCATTCGGTAGCGATCTCCTGTGATGGTTTCACCCGGTTTTAAGAGCTCGTAGTAAATCACACCAAGCTGATCCCACCAAATATCTCTTCCACCACCATGTTTATCTTCGACATCGAAATCACCATTTTTAAAACGTTGAAACCACTCCCGACACGTTCTTTCACTCAGAGCAGCATCACCGTAAGTTTCTGAGAGCAATTGATGCGCTTCACTTGCATTTTTTTTCGAATTGTAATAGAAAAGTGAAACTTCCCGCAAATGGCGAGAATTATGCACATAAACGAACATTTTCGAGCGTGAATAATATGAAAACAAGAACAACTGTCACTGAAACAGCGATGACAGCTCGTTAGGCACTGTCCACACTCACTTTAAAGGCATTATCTATCATCTATGTATTTCAACCAGCCTCAGCCGGTACAGCCACCTATCGGAAAACGGCGGAAGCAAAGTTGTACACCTGATACATACATATGTATCTATAATGTGAAATTTTGGCGGCTATTACATCAAATCGAACTTATTATAGCTTAGGCGCTTTTGGCGGTTCTGGCTCGATATTATGAAGTTGTCCTTCAAAAACATTTTCATTGGTTATAGTATATACCAACTCAATATTTATTATTATAATGACATGTAATTTTAGATGGGTGTATGTGATTTATTTGAGCCTAATCGTGCTGATTTTCGTCCAATGACTGAGGAGAAGGGTATTTATGCCAAACACATTGAGCAATCAATCAATGTAAATATACGCACGCACCCAATAAATCAATTGAAGCGTAAGTAATACTCGTATATTAAAATTTTACAATCGAACATTTGACACAATTACCAACGAATTCAAAAACATACATTCAGATTGCTCCTTTATATTTTATATTTACAGGTAACTATGGGTCACAAACACAACCCATTCAGATATCCGTAAACCATCCATTCCTCTTTTTCGTAATTGATCGTGATCTTGATATTGCGGTAATGGCGGGCCGAATATTAAATCCTTTGAATGTTCGCATTCAGTAGTTCTTGTAAAAAACATGAAAAAATTTATACATTTAAATTAACGATTGAAGAAAGATGGTTTGCACCATTTTCACCTCTGTTATGGCTTATCTGTTCTCAAGATCCCTAAATACATACATATATCAAAAGAAAAGTGAGCGGAAGGAGGAACACATATTATAGAGATTCCAGTTTATTCATTTAAACACAGGTAAAAATGTGGAAGAGTTCAAATTATCCCCCTTAATAGATATAAAATCTTTGTTTTTATGTTTGTTTCCTAGGACGAGCGAAGGTAGCCGGTGGATTATACTGATATTATGTCTGTGTGCTCCTTTGTTTATAAAAAAAATATTTTCTGGAAAAGGATTTCGGCAAAATCATATTTACGGTTCGACATACTTGACACTTGCTGCAAGGTAGCTTTTCGATTAGATTAGCATGGGCAGTACTTTTTCTTCCCCTCAAAGAACACAATTTTATTTATTAATACGTTTATTAAAAAATTCCTCATGAAAATCATGCCTAAATCGGAAGCGGTTTAGAAGAAACGCGTGACACAAATTGGAGGTAACAAAGCGCCAATTATTTATAATATGCAAATATAATACGTTTGTAATGACCTTTAATAAATCACACGGTGAAACATTTAATAAAATTGATGATATGCTGAGGCGACCTATTTTTTCACGTGGACAGTTGTATTAGGTCAAGTAAGAGGTTCGTTCGGTTTTTTATTGATTTTCCAAAATATGATAACTTTGTGTACATTTGTCTTATTTAAGTCAAATATACGCCGTTTTGTTCGTAAGCTTGTAGCCAACTTCAGTATACCCCTCTCGTAGAAGGTTGCGTCCCTATTGGTAAAAAAACTCAGAGAACCAATTTTCACATGCCTCTCTTGAGGCCAATTACTCACCATTAAGCGCATTCGCCATTGGACAGGAAAAGATGGTAATCACTTGGTGCCAGGTCCGGACTATAAGGTGAGTGCATTAGGACTTTATCGTCTGTTTCCACTATTTCAATGATTTTATCGCAATTTTCGACGACAGGCCTCCCGACTCGTGGTGCATCTTTGACATCGAACTTACCAGAACGGAACCTAGCAGATCACTTTTGTGCTACACGTTCGTTCACAGTATTGAGTCCATAAATTTTGAATTCATTTTTTCAGCCGCTTTGGCTGCTTTTTCGCCTTGATCGAAGAAAAATTGTAAAATTTAACGAATTTTCTTTTTGCTGGTGACCATCTGTGACGAGCGTAACTGAGTCAATCAATCGAAAAACTGTCAACTCTCTTAGATAAAAACCGAACGATCTTCTTACTACACCTAATATGTGTTAACAATTGGGATTAGAAGCATTAATGATATTAAATATTATGTTTCAAATGAAATTGGTCAAGGAAAATTGCTAAACTATGACGATATTTTAGACTATAATTAAAATAATTTCAATATTTCAATATGTATATTTTACATAGTTTGGATCTTAACTAATGTAACCCTGTAATCTATTTTCTTGGTAATTTAATCAAAGGAAAAATGTGATTGAGTAAAGTAAATTAATATTTGTCTGCAAATTAACAAGGGAAACAAAAGTTATTTGTCCTCAAAACGTTGAAAAATATAAATTGATGAGCAATAGTAATAATTTTATCTGATAAAAATCCTTTAAATAAAATTAAGAATATTTTCAAAGCATAGCTTATTTAGAACATGCTTAAAAATATTAGAAATGAACGAAATGAACTCAAAACAAAACTAACACGTTATAATGTTTTAATGGGAGATCCATTCATCATTGGGAGAGTCAAAATATATGTAAGTAATTGTTTTTTAATTATTTCATTTTCATTAAAAGAATAACTCATATTTAGGATTGGATAAAAATTAGAAAGTCTAATACTGAGTTCACTTGGTATTTCCAACTGGCGCCGGATAGCAAAGAGAAGAAACGAATGTCGCGCTATTGTTGATTTGGCTATAATCGCGTAAGCGGTAATGAAGAAGAAGAAGAAGAAGAAGAATTTTAAATTACAATTATATGCGAAAATACATGGAATTTAACTGCTTTCAGAACTGTCAAAGTGAATAGATCGAAACTGAAAACAAATGTATCAATTTCTCATACATTATATTTACGAATCCTTAACGAGGTGTGTTCAAAAAATATCGCGAATATTGTGTTTTTTCAAAAATTATTTATTTATTCATGAATATCTATTTTGTTCCCTTCAAAATAATCCCCATGAGATATTATACACTTGTGCCAACGGTTTTTCCAATCTTCGAAGCACTTCAAAAAAATTATTTTTTTTATTTTGTTCAGCTCCTCCTTCGATGCCGTCTTTATCTCGTCAATCGTAGCATAACGTCGTCCTTTCATGGGCCTCTTCAGTTTAGGGAACAAGAAAAAGTCACAGGGGGCCAGATCTGGGGATACGGTGGCTGCGGCATCATTAGTGTGTTGTTTTTGGCCAAAAAGTCGCGCACAAGCAACGATGTGTGGTCAGGGGCGTTATCGTGGTGCAAAAGCCAATTTTTGTTCTTCCACAAATCCGGGCACTTCTGGCGGATGGCCTCGCGCAAATTGCGCATAACTTGCAGGTAATATTCCTTATTGACCGTTCTACCCTGTGGCAAGAATTCATGTTGCACCACGCCCCTGCAATTAATTTTTTCGTCTGTTGTTGAAGTGCTCGGGCGGTCGGCACGCTCTTCGTCGTTCACATCTTCTCGGCATTCTGAGAACATTTCGTACCACCGATAAACGTTGCATCGGTCCAAGGTAGCTTCTCCGCATGCCACAGTCAACATTCGGAATGCACCCACGCACTTAATTTCGTTTTTCACACAAAATTTGGTACAAGTTCTTTGATCTATTTTTTTGAATAGGTAAAAATCGAAGACCATCCAAAACACGTGCAAGCAAACGTTCTCTGAGCAAAGCAGCTGTCAACAATTAAGTGAACATTCAAAATGGCCGAGCTTGAGGGCATAAGTGACAGACATGAGTACGAACATAACGCCACAGAAATTTGATTATACGTAATCCGCGAAAATTTAAAATTCGCCATACTTTTTGAACACACCTCGTATATATGGTTGAATGCTTCCATACAAATAAGTACTGAAGGTTTTTATTGCGGAACCAATTTATACTTTTATGCATTGCATGTCAAATAATTATCGTAAATTGATTTAAATCAATAATGATTATTAAGCAAATTTGAAGTGCAGTAGAAATTATTTAGCAATCATATAACTGTTATTCTTTAAAAAATGTCGTATTTCGGCGGAGAATTCTCATAGATAAACTTTATCACCAGTTATTAGCCCTAGCACAGCAATAGCAAAAGTATGTTGTGATAGAAAAAAGAACTGTATCCAGTGTTTTAAATGTGCGTACGTTCCGAGGCCCTAACATCGGCTGGCAACGAAGATACGCATATGCCTCTGCGTATTAAATATCGTCCGTCAACAAACAGGGAGGTTCGACGTCGAAAGATGCAATTCCAACACACAGTCGAACGATTTTCTACTCGGTTTTCACACTTGCTTTCTGCGAGCACTCTTCTGCAACTCGGTATAAGGGAACTGTGACACGGTATCTCATACTCCTTACATATCGCCGCTACGGGCACAAAGGGTTTTCGATAGTACCATAAAAAAGCTGGTAGATGATGAATGTCGAACTGTAGTGGATAGAAAACAGATTGCCTACCTCGCTGCCTTGCGATCGACCACAACCCGAGAAGGGTGGGATAAATACCGAGAGCTGAAGAGGGAAGCAAGATGCATTTGCAAGAAAAAAATAAAGAGGCCGAGATGCTTGAATATGAAGAAATCGAGAAGTTGGCCGACAAGGGTAATGCTCGAAAATTCCAGAAAGGTGTTATAGTACTGTTTCCCTGAGCATAATGAATTTATGGAGGGAACACTTCTCCTGTATGTTGAATTTCGGTGAAAATGAAACACCTGGGGATGGTGAACCCGAAATCCCTCGATAACGATGGAAAAGAATGCCCGACTATCAATCCACAAAACGGGCGATCCCACAGTCTGCATCAATTACTGTGGGATAAGCCTCTTCAGTATCGCATATAAGGTACTATGGAGTGTATTGTGTGAAATACTAAAACCCACCGTCAACAAATTGATTGGACCTTATCAGTGTAGCTGTAGACCTGGTAAATCAACCATATACCAGATATTTCCCTTGTGCCAAATCTTGGAGAAGAACCGTGAAAAGAGGATCGACAACACACCACTACTTCGTCGATTTCAAAGCAGTCTTCGACAACACGACCCGAAGTTGGTATCCTCGCTAAACTGTGTAAACTGAAGTTAGGCAACACCTTTGGAAAGTAAAGTCTTCTCTCGACGAACAAAACCCACACTCTACAAGTCGCTCATCAACATGATGTCAACATCTGATTAGTCTGATTTGGGAATCTTCCTTAGCGCATTATCAACGGCGAATACCACAGACGATAGAATGACAAGCTGTGAAATGAATGAAGAGACAGCGGCTACGCTGGTGGCAGCAGAGGAAGAGGAATAACCCCACTCCGTTGGAAGGATCTGGTGGAGAACGACTTGGTATCACTTGGTATTCCCAAGTGGTGCGAAAACAAGGGATGAATGGCTCGCTATAGTTGATACGGCTATAATCGCGAAAAGCGTTGCCAGTGCTAATAAAAAATAAGAAGTACTCATACAACCTGTAGAATGAGATGTTGTATGTGCTACCCATTTGTAACCTCCTTTAACTAATTGCTTGGCTATACATTCGAAAGGTTAATACTTCGGGTACCAATCGATTACCAGTTTCCTCTAAAAAGAAAAAAAAAACTTATTTTAATAATTTCACTTTTTTATTCATAAAACTGCAATATAACATATGAATATGTGCAAGGGAGTTCATCAATACGATATAAAATTTTAGACAATTTTTTTTTTTATTTACAATAAAAAGACATAAAATTATACATATATAGAAATATTGGTACCATAATTGAAAATATTTAGTACTTGACCTTTATTAAATAATTATAAACATTACAATATATAGTTTTAATTAGATAAAAAAAATTACATTTACAAATAATTTTCAATACTTTTTTGGCTGCATTTAAACAACAAAGGTATGAGTATCAACCAACATTGAAAGGGCGAATTCTGTCACATAGCTAAATCGAGCAAAACAAAATATATAATATTGTCCGACTCTTTATCAACACTAAAAGCAATCCTCAACATTAACCAAAACAATACAATAAAAAGACGAATTCTCAACACACTAATTGAAAACCATCATAAAATTCAACTGCTTTGGGTATCAAGCCATATCCGGAATACGCTTGCTCCGCAATAGCTGGCAAAAATCTTTCCAGTCAAACTAAAACAGATTTAAAAAATGCTGTACGTAAGGCTTATCAAACATCCGCAACTGGATTCAGGACAAACTACGACCACATATATACGTCCATAAGCCCTAAACGCTACTTTTCCGATTGAAATATCAAGAAACGCTTCCGAATAGAGCATACTTGTCCGACGCAAAAACCCATCTTAAAAAAATCAAAACCACCAACATAGTACACTGATCCCTCTACTATAACCCACATTCTCTATTCTTGTTTCCATCGAGAGTATTTAAAAAAAGGGATTTTTAATGATAACATAATGCAAGCATTAGAAAATGTAAGAACTGCTAAAATTTATTTGTAAATTCGAATTTAATTGTACTTCGAAA